CATATGTTAAGTGGTTAAAGACAACTAGGAAACAGCGATCTATATGGTGACTTCAACACTTCAAGTGTCATGTGATCAAATACACCACAGAAAAATCCCAGCAGTAAAAGGCAGTGCACCTTGTAATTGTTAGGCACAGCACTAGATAACAACTTAGACAAGTACCTACATATAAAGTTGGAAACTTTACAAATTATTTTTTGATGATAATAAAGTTATATCCATTACATTTTCTCCAGATACCGTACACAGCGTATGATGTTTTGAAATGTAGCTATTTTTTTCAACATAGTCTAGAAACAGTAGAATCAAGACAACATTTACCTTTAATATAGCTTTATTTTCGTATTGAAGAGAAACTGTACAAAATAATATAATTATATAACAGATTATAATCCACTCATTCCAGAAGAATGCTAAATATTCCAAGGCACATAGATCTTGTGAACTGTAATACCATTACAAACATATATTGTACAATAGATAATCTTCTAGAGAAAAGTACTCTCTTGGTTCGAGACCTCTTGCTTCATAGACTTGACTCGACGAAATAATGAAGTTTTTGTAACACCGTAAACGGCCGTAGCTTGACTAAATGTCATTTTTCCATTAATAACAGCATTTACAGCGTGATTCATCTGATCTTCCGACCAGGTGACCTGTCTTTTTGGTCTATGTAAATGTAATGTTGGGAATAGTGGAAGCAAACCTGAAAAAAATAAGATATTTGGTTTAGAACTTCACAAGAAGAGAAGTCTCTCCGGGTGATAAAAACTTAACACATCTATTAATCACCCAATTTCATCTAATCAGTCACTGCAAGTAGTTTGTACACACTTTAAACCTTTACACAAAGAAACAAAGGTTTAATTTGTTTAAGAAACAAAGAAGATATTTGGTTTAGAACTTCACAAGAAGAGAAGTCTCTCCGGGTGATAAAAACTTAACACATCTATTAATCACCCAATTTCATCTAATCAGTCACTGCAAGTAGTTTGTACACACTTTAAACCTTTACACAAAGAAACAAAGGTTTAATTTGTCTACACGTAAGTACATAACACATGGATGTTACGTACGCTGACCAACTGACTACGTACTACACTTTACACTAGTTGGAGAACTACGACAGATACTTGAATAATTCGGCTAAAATTTCAGTGAATCATTTCCATACGGATGCTAGTGAAATCTTCGCTATCAACAAATAACCCACTAATTAACATGAAATAACCACCTGTGTGGAGAAAACAAACTATACATGATATCAGACAATTCAACTAAGCAGTAATGCTTGTTGATGCAACTGAAAGAAGAAAAGCTGTGTAAAAATATTGATTTTTTTTTAGTTAACTCATGTTTGTATACGAGTCTTTGAAAACTAACTTTTTGAAACATGTACAAGTCCAACTTTTCTCCTACACTTTAGCATGTATTTCTAACTTTAAATATGTTAAGGTTTCTGTATAAAACTAATGTCAAGAGAGCAAATTTAACTAATACATTTATTTTTTCTATCTATGGTTTATCTCGATTACAGAATTGGGGATTGTACTACAGTTTTCTAGCAAGTCATTGAAGGATGTCAGTATTCAATAAAACTCTAATCAGTATATCAATTTATACATTTGATTTGTATAACTGATTTCCACAAAAATATTACACGCATGTTGTTAGTAGTTTTAAGAATATCGTGATCCAATAAACAATATTTTAAAACTTTCATTTACTGATTTGTAATTTATATACATTGTGAAATATATAAAAATATTTTAATATTCATCTATAGTCAATGCTCTTTATCTCAATATTATAAGTAACACTTTCCTTCATTTCAAAAGTTATACCATAATTAAAAGATAATTGGAAATAACTGTGCTATTCTTATAACAAGATTTCAACTGTTAACAGACAACTCTGCTGCTTCTCCTATCACAAGTTTTAACCACTGTTAATACACAACTCTGCTGCTTCTCCTGTCACAAGTTTTAACCACTGTTAACAAACAACTCTGCTGCTTCTCCTGTCACAAGGTTTAACCACTGTTAACAGACAACTCTGCTGCTTCTCCTGTCACAAGGTTTAACCACTGTTAACAGACAACTCTGCTGCTTCTCCTGTCACAAGTTTTAACCACTGTTAACAAACAACTCTGCTGCTTCTCCTGTCACAAGTTTTAACCACTGTTAACAGACAACTCTGCTATACTTTCATAGCTAACATTATTCAAAATCTGAATGTCATGATTGCTGTGTCTTGCCATTTTGAACACCATATATAAAATTTTCATTTTGTTGAACATCCAGTCTCCCTCTTTCTTCAATGTCTAGTAAAATTTGAATTTCTGGATTGTCTACGTTGTTTGGTCTAGAAATTGAAAGTATTAAATGTCATTAAAGCTATAGAACTAAACTCTGTATTAAATATTGTCATGATGTTTGACAACATACTAACACAAGCCTAGTTTAATTATTATTAAATATAACAAAATTTACTTGTACTTACTGACACAATGCAATACTTCTTAATGTGTACAGATAGATAACTTTTACCCTGCTAGAGCAATATATGTCCTACAGTAGCCCAACTTGTTTATTTTTTAAACAATACACTGGATATTAAGACAATGAAACTAATAAACTTTATAAAGTCAATAAATACAACTAATCTATTTATAAAAAGGGTCAGACACATTATTAAGAAATATAGTTACTATAGTTTCTTACAGCATTCTGATATTTTAGTTTTATAAATTGTTTAAAACAATATTACAATACAGTATCATGTAGCAGTTCCATGATGAGATCTCTCCTTCAACATCTAGCAGTTACACAAGGAGATCTCTCCTTCAACATCTAGTATATCATCTAGCAGTTACACAAAGAGATCTCTCCTTCAACATCTAGCAGTTACACAAAGAAATCTCTCCTTCAATATCTAGCAGTTACACAAAGAGATCTCTCCTTCAATATCTAGCAGTTACACAAAGAGATCTCTCCTTCAATATCTAGCAGTTACACAAAGAGATCTCTCCTTCAACATCTAGCAGTTACACAAAGAGATCTCTCCTTCAACATCTAGTAGTTACACAAAGAGATCTCTCCTTCAACATCTAGTATATCATCTAGCAGTTACACAAAGAGATCTCTCCTTCAACATCTAGTATATCATCTAGCAGTTACACAAAGAGATCTCTCCTTCAGTATCTAGCAGTTACACAAAGAGATCTCTCCTAGACCTATTATTGTGTAGAAATAACATGATGATGTCTTCTTTTTAATATCTAGTATTATCTAACAGTTAGCAAATGTTTCAACATCAGTTTTGCCCAATATTTTTACCTGTCTTATTATTTATATAGGTGCTGGTTACAAATATAAGTTCCAATTAAAAAAAAAAAAAAACTTAAAAATTCCTCTTCAAACTTACTTACTTTTGTCTTTTAGTTTGCAAAACCAAAAGTTCTGAATGTTATTTACAGTACTCATTTGTATACTTATTAATTCCAGTAAAGTATGCTTTCTGTTATTTTGATGGTGATTTTGGTAAAGAGAAAATCCATACTTCTCAAATAAAATCCTTGTAACAACAGTTCTCCAGGGAGAGTAACCCAACAAAACTCACATTCTTTATAATAAAACTGTGTTTTCTACCATTTCTTCACATAACGTAGGGTTCTATCAATAATTTCATATTTTTGTTTAAGCACACAGCTACACCATGGATTATCTGCGATGTATCCACCACATGGATTGAGCCCTAAATATAACCATTTTATAATCTATATAGTACTAATTAATGTTACACACAAATTATAAAGCAAAAATGGATAAAATTACTAACTGGAGTAATTTAGTACAAATTTATCAAATTATTATTTCAAATATTCTTACAGTTTAAAAATAGAAGTTACTTTCGAAAAATATTGGTCAGTAATGTAAACGCAATAGTAAATATACAAGTAGTATTATATTATCCACAATGAAAACTAATTTTTGCTGCAAGTTGAAAAAGTCGTTTACTTTTGTTTTGCCATTTTTTACTTAGAAAATGATCTCTTAAAGTTAGCCTTTAAATAGCAAACATAAATGAAATTATACTACTTGTACTTGTAGGCCCACCAATCATTTGTTCTTTTTCCAAAGCAGGCCTATTAAAAGTTTAATACTAAGTTACTAACATAACTTAAATACTTGGTATAACGGCATTAAACCGTAAATTCAATTTTAGCATTAGGCTAATCTAAGCATTAGGCTTAGGTTAGTTTTTACTGACATCTAGTAATAAGTAATAGTAGTATTAGTAACACTATTAGTAATAGTATCACTCTACGCGGTATAATTACTGTTATACCACTGGTCAAACGTAATTTCTTAAGATTATCTTTACTTTTAACATAACAACACAATATTTATTTTCCCTAAAATATTTTGTTCTCATGTAAACGTTTGACCCACATGAATATTTACATTCTTAACTTCTCCGTTTGGAAACAAATAGGAATATTGCGTGTAAAAAATACGCGCACTCTTCCCTACGTTTTAAAATTTCTTTTAATTGCAAGCTTTCAGACCTCTTACAGCAGCCTCCATTGGTCAAATATTTAAAACGTTGAGAAGAATTCGTGAAGTTTCTTCATATTAATGTACTTTGATTATGATAAAAAAAACAAAAAACAACAACACAGGAATGTTGCATACGAATACCGCTAAACCATCGACAATGTCGCTCAATGGCATTACAACACAGTACTACTACTTGACAAGTAGACACAACAACATCGGTCAATCGATAAAGAATAAATTAACACATCTATATTAAAACTTTTTGTAGTTTATCTCGTGCGACGTTTCGAGCAGACGCCTAACAAAGGATGTCTGCTTGAAACGTCGCACAAAATAAACTACAAAAGTTTCCTTTAGACTTGTCAATTTATTTTTATTATATTTATTCAAGTTTTTCTTCTCACGTCTTGCAGAACAACATTCATTCAAGAAAAGCGATCAATATTCATTCGCCATAATTCTTTTTCTTGTTATTACATTTATTCTTTATGAAATTTAAACTTATTATATACTGTCTGTTCCTGAAAACGAATAACAATGGAAAATAAAATTTTCAGAAACCTCCTACAAGATTCCTTACGCCCTCTATACAGTAGACAGGATTTGCCAATGAACTGGAAAGCAGAGCTATTTTGTTTGTTTGCTTTAGGTCAAAGCCACATTGGACTATCTACTGTATCCACCGAGTGGAATCGAACCACGGGTTTTAGCGTTGTAAGTCCGTAAGGCAGGGCTATTATATATATATTTTGACAAATAATAAAATCACATACAAAATAGCATTATTACTGAATAAGTTACAGATATACAATTTACGGATATAATAATTAGTTATAAAGAAGAATAAAAACAAGAACGTTGAAATTAGTCTGAAAAAAGTAAAGGTTTAGAAAAATAAAGATTCAGTTATTAAAACATTAGCTCTAATAAAAGATATTTAAATTATACTTTTTGCAAATGTTTTATTGGTATATTCTATATATTTTCCCTTAACTAATGCATTACGAATTTTGAATCAGAGATGTGTGGTTGTTGTAAAACGCAAAGCTACACAATGTGCTATCTGTGTTCTGCCCAAGTTGTGTGGAAATAGCATTTAAGACCTATATTTGTTTCTCATAACTCTTTGCCCAGGGGGATTTTCGTCTAATTCCAGAACTCATCAGTTAGCCTGGACCTACGACAACCATAAGCACGTCTGAAATAATGTGATATAACGTATTTTACCACCATCTTCATTGATATAACAATTTTTAAAAAATTCATTCAAATAGTTTCTTTGCAGTTTTGGGAACATCACGTAGTCCAAAAAAACCTTGGAAGTTGTTTGACTCTAGTTACCTACGTGACTTTGTTTGCTCTAGCAGATATCTTCTCTGTCCCCTCTCCGAGTGTTGTCATAAAATGTACAGATATAGTGACGCTATCAGATCAGAAAGGATACAGAGTTTCTTAAAACAAAATCGTAACCACTGTTCTTTCAGAATTCTTCATTATCGACGTAAATAATTCAATGGAGATCCATCTCGAGGAAAGAAAGCTGTTGATCAATTTATAGGCCCAGTAGAGGCGATTGTTCACATGTCTATTCGAGAATGCACATTCTTTTTTTATTTTATGTCATAATAAAGATTGGTTTACACTTAACATCACACACGTCTAGTCTATATATTTTTCACTGTTTAAAACTCAGATGAGTCTTAAAATTCAGATCACTCTAAAAGTTTCTGTCTGATCCTACTGTTATTCAATTGACTTATCTAATACTTTTGAGATAATCACTACACTTGAGAATTGCACAAACAGATAGGAAGGAGAAGTTTGGTGCAGTAACCACAAGATTTATTGCTAAATTTTATGTTTTGTTAACATGTGTATTGGCCCTTGCTTGATTTAAATTACTTTAAAGGAATGCTTTTACTAAAATCAATGGCTTATTCTGGACACAGAAATACCCACAACCAAGAGAGAGAGAGTTTGCCACCAGAGATATTGAGTCTAGAAGAAGTCGTTTACTTGAAATAGGACTTTTTTTTCCCATGGTACGAATGTCCTTGAAATCGATCAGCCTACATCTGCAGACTCAAAAAAGATCTGATGATGCTCTGGGACCAGTGGATCGAGTCTTGCCCTGAGGATTGATCTCAACACAAGGGAAATAAGGATGATTGATGGTCGTCAATGTTTATTGGTGCCTGCCGAGCCTGAGACTACTTAGGAGGGGGGGGGGGTCTCTCTACAAGATTTCTATGCTGTCGACATCCAGAGCACCACTTCCTAACTTCTGGTCTAGACAACCAATGACCATTTGAGAAGGATTGGGCGTGCCACTGATGGATGATCTTCACCAGTTAGAGCTATTTCTCCAGCAGCTGGGACAATGGCTACCCATGAACCATGAAGCAGCCAGCCTTTCCAAGCCAAGATGTTGACCATGGCTTTCAATGACATCTGGGGTTGTGTAAGTGTGTATGGGAAGCTTTTTCTGCATGTGGCTTGTTGTCTTCCCACACTGGACCAAGTACCAATTATTCTTCCGAGTATCGGGGTCTCTGAGTACAGCTATTGCCCTGCACTTTCAAAATTTGAGGCATCTCAGCAAAGTATTGACCAAGAACCTTCAAAGGAGAAACTTTGTCCTGCACTACAGGTCCTTGTGAGTAAGGCTAAGTAAGTTTTACCCCCAATGTTTAAGGGAACAGCAAAAGAATACCTCAACCACTTCCTAAAACATCTGAAGAAGATAACTGCTTGTTATGGACTTAGAGACAGGCTATTCAGTGTTCAATTCTGAACATGAATGGTCCTGCCATGGATGCCACAGAACATTTGGATCAGGAAATGCAATAGCACTAGGAAACAATCTTCTATGAGCTGCATTGCTAATTCGCCACAACGGTGATTTGGGCTATCCATTAACACAAGTTCATCACAAGAGATACATACCTTAACTATTTCCATATGATAGTGTCATATCATGTCTTTTACACAAATATATCAATCAACTTGTCAACTAAAAACACAAGCTGTACATAATTAAAATCTTACCTTCTCTATTTGCTAAGATAGTCACCTT